TACCGCGAAGCACTTTACATTTTGAGCTTGTTTTCTTCGCCAATTTAGCAATGAGCTGGCTCCTCGTTTCGCCTTTCAGAGACTGGAAAATATACATGTTTAATTTCTTTGACCCTAGGACCGAGCCAGACCATATAAGAAAACTTTGCTCCTCAAGGTGGGTGGGTGGGTGTGTGCGTGTGTTCTTAATTTCTCCAGTCATCCACGGAGTCGTTTTTCTGGAAATATTTACGCTTGTTTCTCTGTGTGAACGGTTGAAGAATTGATACATGAACTCTGATCTCCCTCACACGGCTGCGCTTGTTGACAAGTATGAATGACCGAGTGAATGTTTCAACATCCTCAACAAACAGCTACACAACAAATCCAAATGGAAGGTATAATGGCTATACTATTAGAATATTAAAAAGTTGATCCCTACTCATCAAACATGCACCCATGACTAATAATTTTGCACTCAATTAAGCAGTAATTCTATTATGTCACAGCAGAAATTGACAAGGAAATTCAAAGCCTCCCAGCCATCAAGATATATATATTGATCAAACTTGGCATGCTGCACATCCAATGGTTGAGGAGAGAGCATGCGCACCATCGAAAACCAGACATGAAAATCCACAGAAACACATGCCCTTGTGCCGCGCAAGACCCAGGAAACTTCTCTCTAGCTAATCCAGAACGTTGGAACAAGCTAGTATAATGTATTGTGTAAGCAGTGACATCAATGCCAAGAGATCATCGCAGAGGTGGATTACTAGCAAATATTGAGCGGTCCCCCTAATTACCTTCAATTGTGACATGCATTTTATTTTTTCGAGGAATCTGTGCGACGTCAACTAAGCTTTTCACGCATTCAATGGTAGATTGGAGTGCAGTAATAATTTTTTTATTATTTAAAAATAAATTAAAATAATATTTTTTTTATTTTAAAAAATTATTTTCAACAGTAATACATCAAAACAATACGATAAGGCCAAAATAAATTAATTTCAAGTAAATAAAAAATTTAAAAACTTATATTAAAAAAATACTTTTAAATATAAAAATAAATAAATTATAAAGTGAATAAACAGGTTTGTTTTTTTTTTTTGAGTTGGTGACTATAAGAGAGGATATTGAAAATTGATGAACCTGAGACTCATGAATATTATTAGATACCACTTTCATCTCTAAACCATGTCATGAAACTTGTAAGCTGCCAGTGCTTGATCTTGAATTTTCCCCAGGGCCACAAAGGGACCAGGTCAATTTTGTCAATCATAGTGCTTACCTTTTTTCCATGTTTTTGACTTATGAGCATGGAAAAAGAAGAATTTACGTCATGCATATATATATATATATTTTCCGTTGGTGTTTGCTTTTCAACCCTACAATTTTAATAATGAATATAAGTATCCCACCACTGTTAAATGTTTATAATTTATTTTTCTGCATCAGCCCTAAGGTGGTAGGTCAGGTGGTGGATGCTCCATAGTTCTAAACCCTACATTGTAAAAATCACATTTTTTTTTATTAAATTTCATAGGTAAACAAGTTTTTTTTTTTTCTTTCGTTAACTTCTCTCAAATGAGAATTTTAGAATTTGAAATTTAAGAACCCGAAGGGAGTGTGTTTGGAGTCGAAATTTTTTGGTGATTATTGAAGGGTGGATTTTGGTAATGGGACATGTGTGAAAAACCCATTGGTTATATCCGATTATATTGTTTTATCTATTAAAAAATAATGTCAATAAATTCTCTTTTCAGTCTTATAATTTTGAAAAAAATAAATAGTCCCTCTACTTTCTTATTTATAATTTTTGTCAAGACATTAAAAAATAAAAATAAAAATATTTTATTTTTATACATACGGTCAAATCTCTCAAACAAAAAAAAATCACATCATATTTTCATAAAAAAAAAATTAAAAAAAATATATGTTTTAGCATGCATTATCGACTTTAATAACTAGTTTGTTAAAATTATACGGACTATGCTAGTATTTTAAAAAATTCAAAAAAATTATTTTTTCTTTTTAATATTAAAAACTACATATACATAAAGCGTGCGAAGGTAGTAATATAAAACTATTTGAATCATGGATAATAATTGCAAAGAGGTTTTGTTATAAGGACTAGATTAAAAATGTGAGGACCAAAGGATCCTAGAAGGGGACCAAATTGCAATAAAATAAAATTACAATCTAGATAAATTTCTTAAGGCTATGTTTATTTTCTGGAAAGTGATTTCCAGGAAACCACTTTTTAATTTTCTGTGTTTGTTTACTATTAGAAAAGTTAATCAACGAAAAATATTTTTCAGTCAAAGAAAAATTTAACTTGGTTTTCAGGAAAGAGTTTTTCTAAAAAATTTGAAAGGAAAACACTTTCCGGAGTTGTGAAAAATTTTAAAATGTCATATTATTTGTTAATTATATCAAATTTGATCCTCAAACTTTTAATTGCTATATATATATATATATATTTGAATCTTTATTTTTCAATTTCATCTCTTAAAATTTAATTTTTATATTAACTTTATTTCTCATTTTTATAATTGTTATTTTCTTTTTCTTTATCTTTTTTTATTAATATTTTTTATCTATCAAATTTAATCCTTATTCTTTTGATTGTTACTTATTTTATTTGAAATAATTTATGAAATATTAATTATTATTATTTTAATTTCTTCATCTTTTATTTTTTTAATTTTTTAGATTTGATCTCTATTATTTTGATTATTATTTATTTTATTTGAGATAATTTATAAAATTATATTTTTTAATTTCATTCTCATTCAACTTTTTAATTTGTAAGATTTTTTTTATTATTTTAATAAACTTGAGAAAAAATAAAACATTAATAAGTTATTTTCCAGTTTATTTTCCATGATATAACCAAATACTGGAAAGTGTTTTTCAACTTATTTTTCATTACAATATCAAACATCAAAAAATAATTTATATTCCTTAAATTCATATAAAAAAATTACTTTTCAATAAAAAAATAAATACGCATGAAAAAAAAAACTTTACAACTAAAATGAAAGTCTCTGAAAATGAAACGGCATTATGTATGACAAATGAGTTTTCGACAAGCATGTTTCTAACGCATTAAAACTCACCCTCCAAAAGTAAACTAAAAATGTTGACTCCAAGCAAACTATCTTGGATCACAGCACATGCCTGTAAGCTATCGAAAATTCAAATTATAAGGTCTCAATTGGATGAGGTTGTGCTGCGGAGAAAATATGACATATTTCTATACATCACAAGGATTCAATTTAAATATTTTTAAACTATAATTAATTTCTTTCATTAATTAGTTTTCTAAGTTTTAATCTTGGAGTCAATAACTATAGGAATTTATTTTCGTTAATATACCAGGTAGAGAATGCATCGTGAATTAAAAAATGTTTAGAAGAGGCTTAATTGTTACTATTGTTGTGCAAGCTAATTAATACAATGCATAAACATTAAATTTTAAAAAATAAAAATAAAAATCATCTTGCTTCTAGCCAAATCAGAACCTTTTGTAGATATATATTTTTTTTTTGGAAAAGAATATTTTAGAGAGAAAGGTGAGGGAATTTCTTTCTAAAAAACTAAAACATTTAGAAATAGTTCTTATATTATATGTCTTAATTAATTTTTATCTACGACAGATTTGAAAATAGTTTCAAAGGTAAGGAAAATGTGTTTCTAGGCTTCAATAGGAGGGTGGTTTTTTTTTTTTTTTATTTCCTTACAGCCGAAGAATTAGTTAGTACCTCAACCATTTTTTATTTATTTTCACAGGCCCAAATTAACTCCATGCAGGGAAAGCAATTTTTTAGCCTTGAGGTAACCGTAACACGACATTGGAAGTTTTAATATACCATTTAACGTTTGATTGTTGTCTTGAGATATAAAAAATAAAAATAATAGAGATAAAAAGAAAAGGTTATTTTAATATTCTATATTTTAAAATTACATAAATTCATGTTAAGATTAGCACAAAAAAAGATTTATTTTATATATCTATTTCAATTCCCTCTAACTAAGCATTTTTTTTTTTACTTTCTTTATTTATTTATTTTTATTTTGGAACATTAACCCGATAATTGAACCGTAGAAAAGTAAGTTAAATACTAACCTAGCTAGCTAGGATGCTCAAGAATATATATGATTGTTGAGATAGTACGTACAGGGCCAATATTCTGTTATTATATATTATAAATCGATCTGAAGACACACATTCATAGAATCAGTAACATAACATTCAGTAGTAAAGTCCCATATAGAAAGTGCTTGGCGATTTGGCAGTTGTAGTTGGAACTACATGACGGGTTGAGTTGGAGTGATCGTAGCATGTGCCTTCACACACTCTTGTTGCGTTGCAGACATGAAGATAAAAGGAAAGGAATGCAGCCACTTTTTGATGCCCTCCTTTAGCTAGAGCCGAGCAAATCATTGCCAAAACGTCAAAGCAATCTTTCCCGGTTATATTACTGCATGCCATTCCATGAACAACTTGAGCAAACTTTGTGACAGGTGCATTTACTTAATTCCACCTGTTGTCCTTTTTACATTACATTTAAGAAATAGAGAATACAGCACTAGTCTTCCACAGCTCCATTGATCTTTATCTATCGCTCTGAGTCACTAATATAAACCTGGATTTAACCCATTTACCAATGAATGTTGTCTAGTGGCGCCCCCACTCATGAAAATATGCTATTTTAATCTAAAAACTTAAACTCAATTTCTCGGTGAGGATTGAGGTCTGATAATAGTTTGGTATTACTATTTAACATAATCTAGAATAGTAAAATTTGAGTTAATGATGTATTTAAATTATTTACAGAATTAATTTATAATCCTTTTCTAGTAAGTGGTATATGATTATTGAGTTCAGGTTCTCACATACAATTTAATAGTTAATTAAGCCTAAAAAAACGAAAAGAATGGTGTCAAATTAAGTTCCTCTTAATTCATTCTGCTATGAAGCAATTCAATCAAAACAGTAGAAATCAAGAGGATTAAATGGAAAGAAATTAGCTGCTTATCATTAATGAACCGGAAAATGATCGATGAAGTGGTGAAAATGAAAGTGAAAGTCACAGGAAAAAAAAAAAAAAAAAAACAAATTTCTTGACTAAATTAAATTCTCAAGTTTTCCTGAAATCCAGACTCCAAATTCCTACAGATATATATATAAACTGAACAAACTGGTATATAGCTAGTGTTGTCATTGTGGCCCAAAGAAGCTTGAATCTTCAAAAGATGAATCTTGTGGCATGCTTTGCAAGCAAGTTTCATAGTCAGAAACAAGCTGAGGATAACCAAGAGAGCTTATATGTCCCCAGCTGTTACTTTCTGCAGAACTAGCCCCCGTGCTGCCACTGGCAGCCATGTCCATCCCATAGAAACTATCCAAACCTTCTACTTGTTGTGGGTTGCTACAGACCAATCCACCTAGCTCGACCAACAAGTTTTCAAGTCCAGCTTGACACATATTTGGACCGTTGTAGTTGCTATTAGGAAATTGAGAGCAACAGGTACTATCCATTGATCGCATGGGTGCCGAAGAAGAAAGCACATCTATGGAGTTTGTGTATGGTACTTGATCTTGTCTGCTTGAACCGTCAAGAGGGTAATTGTTGATTGTAGTGAATAGGGCTGACTCTTGATTATTGTCAGAAAATCTTCCACCAAGTTTGATCAGCAAGTTCCTAATGGATTCTTGATCCATCAAATGAGAATCTTGGTTTTGATTCATGACTAGAGCTGGTACGTCTGGCCAGTAAGGGCTTTGTTGATGAGGGATAGCCCCAGGAACCATGAAGCTCTCATTTATTTCTCTCTTTGTCATGATTTCTTGCTTGAGACTAGCTCGCCGGGCTGCTTGTTCCTTGCGCTGTTTTCCTAAGAGCTTCTTCTTAAGCCTTGTGTTCCAGTAGTTTTTTATATCATTATCGGTTCTACCAGGTAACTGAGCAGCAATGATAGACCACCTATATCATTAATTATACGAACAAATTATTGTTAGGATCATGGATATAGATGCATATTGCACATGAAAAATGCACTAACTATATTACCTGCTTCCAATACTTATATAGAGACTGCAAATAATGTTATCTTCTTCCTCTGAAAACCCTCCATGTTTAATGTTTGGACGGAGATAATTCAACCATCTAAGTCGACAACTCTTGCCACACCTTTTCAGGCCTACTTGTATACAGCAAATAAATTAGTCAGTTAATGATCACATAAACTAAATTACAGGCAAATTAACAATCTGTGTACATATATATATCAGTTACCTATCTTCTGTGGCAAGGCAATCCAATTGCCACCCGTTCCATGCTGCTCAATATAGGCCTTGAGTATGGCATCTTCCTCGGGAGACCACGGACCTTTCTTCACGTTGGCTTTGTCACAGCAAGGAGCTCTCCCCATGATTCTTGCTCTCTTGTTTTTGTGTTAAAGCTCTAGCTTCCCTTTCTTGTATCTCCTTGGGAAGAATGGTAATGATATATAACGTTACTTATTTATACAGAGACACGCACACAAGTGTGTGGGAGAAAATGTTAACTATAACTACTGTATGGTAGCTGGAGATCAAGGAGAAACATGGAGACTCGTCAAGATTTTCAAAAAGAAGACTTTATGAGAAAAAGGAGGAGACTTTATGAATTGAATAGTGGGTGATTCAATTAACAATAGGCACAACAGTAGAGCTAGGTTTTTCTTATTTGTCCTTGTTATTAGTCCAGAATCTATTCAAGATACCCACTAATTCACACCCATCTCCCTTCTTGACTTTCTTCTTTCTCATATATAATACCCAAATCTAATTTACCCATTGTGTCTCATGATATGATATGAATTGATCATATGATCACGACCCTGCAATTGTGTGGACCTGGCTAAATGCTAAGTAGAGCAGATCAAACCTCAAAAACATTGGTTGAATAGTTCCTTTGGCTTTGGCAACGTAGGATCTAACATCAGCCAATAGCAACTGATGTTAATTGTAAGAAATGGACTCGGCTTAGAAACCGATCAAAAAACTAAATTGAAAATGTGAAATAAAACTCGGTAAAACAAAAAACTGAGTTAAAAAATCGATATTATTTTAATATTATTTTTTTTAAAAAAAAGTTTGGATTGATCCTCTTAACTTGGAATTCGGAATGCAATTACCGGTATGATTAGAATAATAGGATTGTGCTAGTAGAGTCGATTATTAATTTATGTTTGAAGTGACCAAATTGCCCCTAATTGTTGGTCCCAATTGTTTTATAGTGACCTGAACAATTAGAGAGGTAATTTTGTAATTCTACACGTCTCGTGGAAGGAGTTTATATTACTAATAAAAATCTAAGTTGATATGTAATCTGATAGATCACTTCCAAGATGTGTCACAATTCCACATTGATTTGCTAGATTTTTAGAAGTAACCTTGTATTTATGAAAAGACTTCAAAAAATAAAATAAAATAAAAGGATGTAAATGTATGTGAAAAAAGTTGCATAACAAGACGTGATGTAAATATTTTTTTCAATGAAAAAACAAGAAGATAAACAACAAGTTTTATTAAAATGTATTATAAGAATTTTACATAAAGAAATAATAAGATATAAAATTATTTGAAAGAAAAAAAATTATATTATATTTATTGATCTAACATAGATACTATAAAATCTATTGATTATTAATCTTTAAAAAATGAGTTTATCCATATTCAATAGCAATTATCGCAAACAATTGGTATTTTCTAGCTATTTTCTGAAATTATTATTGAATGAGGAAAGTAAAAAATGTTAAATACAAAGGTAAAAAAGTCAAATGCCATTCTAGAATGATCAAAAACTACTGCATGTAGTGATGGTTGGTGACCGGAGGAACCAACTAAAAAGAAAATTCACCATGGAATTCGAATCAATGCCTTGGATTTCTGCTGCTAAAAGAAATCTTAAATTCAAAAGCATTAAATTAATATGGAAATGTGTTTTTCTGATTATTTATAAGATAAAAAAGAATTAATATTGATTGTAAAAAACCTTTATTATTTTTTAATTAAAAGAAAGATCAATTATAATGTAACGACAATAATTGATGGGTTTAATTACTTAATCAAACTATACAAAGGGAGACCAAAGAGGCATGCCAATTGGGACCCTAAATGCAATCACAGACATGACATGAATGCAATGGTACTGCTATTTTACTAATATGTGTAACGAACAGGCAAGTCCACTGTCCCATCCATTGAGTCACGATGGAGACCTTGCTGCTTGTCTTTTACACTTTCTTGGCATTTTATACGATTTCTTGCATTCATGATAGAAAAATTATTTTAAAAATCAATTTGGGTGTTCATGATATAACCTTGAATATGCATCCTCTGTATATGTTAGGGTTTTATTCATTCAAATGAATTTAATACATTCGTGGGTCTTAAAATTTGAATCTGGAAAATCAACAAAAATAGCAATCTCAGTTTACATGGAAACTAGCAAATAATATTAATAAATAATTTTTATGTCAGATCAAGAAGTCCAAATCCAAGAAGAAAAAAGTAGGGGGGAATTAAATGAATTTTTTATGGGGTCAGCAAGCTATTATTAGATTAGACGAGGTTAGTATTAGATCTAGAAATAGTTGTTCAGAGCTATTCTTCAATTTATTTAGAAATCTTGAATTTTATTTATATATATTTAGTTTAAAAAATTCTAATAATAGTTGAATTTTCTTAGCCATGTAACTTTTAATCTCTTATAAAATATCTAGATCTAAAACTATTAAGAATATTGTTATATGGTTTATTTTTCTCATAAGAGATTATTCAATAACAATCATTAATATATATATTCAGTATTTAGCAAACCAGGGTTTTTTCTACAATTTAAAACCATGATTTTTGAACTTGAAAAACACTAATTTTAATTTTTTTTAATGCTCAATATATTGTTTGAAATCCAAGTAATCGTAATTTCAATTGCAAGACGAATTAAACGGCTTCAAGCTGGCTAGGGTACATGTCAATGACGGCATTGTTTTAAAAAACAGAAAGAAAGTTCCTCGGTTTTGATCTTTCTTGATGGATTGAATTGTCACTGTATCTGCGTGAACAAGTTTGTCAACTCGGAAGGAAATGGTCTTCTTGGTAGGCCACCTTCTCTCATGTTATTTAATTGTGTGCGAGAGATCTTGGCACCTTTTTTACTTTGAAAGAGTCTTATCTGACAGTATTTTCTTACCCAACAAACACATGAGCTCAAAACTCCATTTTCTCGAGGCATTTTCTAGCTAGAGATGCCTCCCCGAGGTACTTTTCTATCGTCAATGAAAATTCCTATAGTTAATTAATATTAATTTTATAGTGGAACCTTGCTGTTGTTTGCATTGACAAGTTTCTAGAACATTTCTTTTATGATTAAATTTGCTTAATTGTCTTTTGCATGCGTCACCCTTCGTAATTAATGGGGCTAATTTAGATTTTTGCTTTCTAAATCAATCCCACCTAAAACTTTTGATTTGTTCGATTAACTTTCATTACTGTTTCGATCCCTGGTTGAGATTTATTTCAGTCCATTTCCTAAGAAGTATAAATCTTTATTTCATCCCTGAAGTTTATGGAATATTTCAGTATAAATATAACAAAGTAAAAGGAATAAAAAAGAGTGCTCATCCTCTATGAGAGTTTGTTTAATTTTGATATTATAATAACTATTACGATTTTAAAAAAAAATAAGTAGGATTTCAACCATGCTAAATTATTTGTGCATTAATTAACCAACCACTTTAAAACTACATTTAAGACAAGATACATACCTACCATGAAAACAAACTTCATAACCTTAGTTGTCCCTCCTTGAATATTGGCAACTCTTCTCCAAATTGGCCATGGTCCATCTCAGGGGCAAATCCTAGAAGAGACCAGGCAGGATCTTGATGGTTTCCAAAAGATTTGCAAATTAAGACATTAGTTGACATGTCTTGGTTTCCTTCTAGCCTCTAGGTTAGTTATTCAATTGTAGAAAGAAAGTTGGGACCTAGATTCAAGCCCTCTCAAGTCCATAAATAAATATTGCTAGTAAAACTTCCCTTATCTTGGATCGGAGAATATATTACAATCATTCTAACTTTACTGGCTTGAACAAACTTTCTTGTTTTAAAACTGAAAACCATTTTGATGTTCGAGTTAAAAGTCAGTACTTAATTATACTTCTTTCAATTACTTCGTCTCTTAGCTAATGACAAAATAGTTATTGTTTAATCTCATTCTTTTACGCTAGGCAAACTGTAGAATATTAATGATTTTCTGCTCATTTATTTTAGAGATTAAACTTTAATATTACACAAAAATTACATCATGTACGTTGGCGCGACTTTTGTTGTATAACATTGTTGGCCTATGCAAAACTAAATGCTAGGCTCCACCTCTGGTCACTCGAAGAACTTCTCCAAGAATAACTTGCACATAAATCAATACCAATTTCGACCATACAAGGCCTGAAACCACGACGAATAGAATCCCATGCTGAATTTATGAATTTTTTTAAAGAAAAAAAGAAAATAGTGAGTAAATGTCATTGATTGTGTGAACAAATTTTGGTGAAAGCTTACTCGTCTCACAGCATGTCACTGAACATGACGGTGACCAAGCCTTGGGCGACCAGAGAGAAGGAGCTTTCCCGAGACTGAAATAATCAAGTCAACATAATTAAAGCACCTCCACTTAATTAGATATATATATATATAACCTGCCGTAAAAAGCAAGTCTGAACGCGTTTTAATGCCTTTTGATCCTTCATGCACTACGAGGTCTCAGGCTACTTGGAAGAAGAAAGAGATGGATGGGTGCGTATGGTAAATACAAAGAGAAGACAAGTTCCGCGTAGACCTAGCTGTGGTATTTGACTGCAATTGAAAATATTGGGTTTCTTATTATTACATGTCTAAACACTAGAAACTCTACTATATCTTTTGGTTAGAAAAACAGTGTGTGTGTGTGTGTGTGTGTGAGAGAGAGAGAGAGAGAGAGAGAGAGAGACAGACAGAGAGAGAGATTTTTATGCGGTTATATGAAAAAAATACAAAAGAATAGTTAATTTGCAAAAAAAAAAAAATATGTAAAGAAACTATTATATGAAAATAATAAAATAGATAATTTATTCTTATTGAATATTCGGTAGCAATTTAAAAAAAAAACAAATTACATATATTAAGTTCATATATACTTGAAAATAAAAACACACAGTAGAAATGTCATTCGCCTATATGAATATACTATCATGCATTTTATTTTATTTTTCATCTAATTATTGGAATATCAAACTCGAATCTCAACATGTTTTAATGAAGAAAATCTTAGAAGGCCGAAACATACTCTAATCAACTTAAAAGCTCAAAATAATTTCAATCTACCAGCCACCTTCATTAAACTCATTTTCACAAGACAAACTCAGTGACACTTGGATCTTCCTTTTATAGCTAGAAATATAGCCAGCCGAAAGCTCTCTCCTCTCCCTTTTCAACT